AACAACAACAACAACAAGGTCATTTGGACCACAAGATCAGCAGTTCAAACTCACCAGCCACTTCTTGGAAACCCTATACAGGATCACTATGGGTCTGAACCAACTCGATGGCACTTAACAACAACAACAACAACTAATCAGTAGTCAAATCCACCTGCCACTCCTTAGAAACATGGTTGCAATAAGCTGGCACTTAACACCAATAATATTTTGATTAATTATTTAGACATCTGTGTCCCTTCCCCTCCATCAATAACCATTGACTTATCTCTTTTTTCCATTTCCATTATATACATAAATAGCCTGGCACATTATTAATAAACACTGGTTAATTAATCTTTTTTAAAAAAAATTGGTGGCCTTGTTACAGTTTTACACATGTTGGAATACTTTTAGTGTCTGTCAGGAAAAAAAAAAAGTAAGACTTATGTTCTTCTATTTTGACTCTTCCTTCTGTGCCCTCTCGCTTATATTTTTACATGTTTTATGGTGAACAATTTGACACTATGATAGTGGTTTATCTCCAGTCAACTGCCAGTGGGATTCCTATGCCCCTTGGTCAGAATGCAACGGCTGTACCAAGACTCAGGTAGGACCATAACAGACCTCTGTACTTGACAATTTGTATACAGACTTAACTTGTGAAGTTAAATGGTCACAATAACATTGATTTTAAATGCTATTTTCATGTTTCTTAAAAATGATTCTAGTGATTTTGAAGAGAGAAAAGTATTATTTGTTCAACAATTAATATTATAATCTAGTCCTGGTGTGGCGATGTTGGACAAGCACTGGACTGCAAACCACAGGATTGGTGGTTCAAACCTACCAGCTGCTCTTCTGAAACCCTGTACAGGGTAGTTATGAGTTGGAATTGACTTGATGGCATTTAACAACAAAAATATAGTCATTTCTGCATTCTCATTTTTCTTTAAATATTTTCTAAATCTTGTCTTTCACCTAGGAATGCACATAAGGTAAAAGTTAAAATCAATTTGCTAACTTATTAACTAATAAATAACTGGGAATAGCATAAAATCAAATCAATAGGTAATTTGAAATCTATTTTATACACACTGGATTTAACTTTTCATTTCATTTGAAACAAACACTGCTTAAATGGGCTGTTTACTTCACAAATAGTGAGTAGTTATGGAAAATTAAACTTTTTTGATCTTTCAAATTTTAGCTCATAAGTAGTATAAATAAAATATCAGACTTGACCTAGAAATTTTAGAGTACTTCTAAAAATGTCTGTTTTAAAATTATTATATATAAAATTTTAATTGAAAATACAGAAAAGTATAACGAAAGAAAGTGCTACTTATAATTTCACCATTTGAAAAAAACAACTTACCAGCATTTTGGATTATATTCTTTCAGCTTATTTTCCCTCTCTATATTTGTAGTTTCTAAAGGTAAAATTTATTTGCTGATAGTTTTGGATCCTACTGCTTTAATCTAACATTATGATATGGCATGGATTTTGACAGTTACATGTCGAACTTATTTATCTCCTTCCCTATTTTTTGATATTTTAAATTGTTCTCATATTATAAATAAAATTTTAATGAATATTTCTGTACATAACTATCTGTACTTTTTTCTGATTATTTTTATAATTTGTTGTTCTTAAGTGCCTTTGAGTTGGTTCTGACTCATAGCGACACTAAATAGGGCTTTTGAGGCTCTAAACCTTTGAGGGAGCAAAAAGCCTAAATTCTTAGAAACATAATGTTTGTTTCAAAGGTTACAAAAATATTAATAGCTAAATATTTTAATGTGCTTTGATTCAGATAAAAATGTGTGTTTAAAAATCGTTTTAAGTTATTAAAATAGCATAACCACATTACGCAAGACAATTTTATCATAAAGATCATTTTCATCAAACTTTTATTTAATATTAATATAGATTGTATTCACAAAATAAGTAGTAAAATGCAGAATTTGGCTTCTAGCAATTATAATAGATGACAACTCTGATTACAAGGCACACAGATATATGATTAACAAGGTGAAAGACAAACATATAGGAATTTCGATAATTTAAAACCAAGTTAAGCAAGAACTCTAACTAGAAGTAGCTAGAAGGTGTTGTCCGTATTGTTATTTTTTCCGTGGAAGGTTATCATAGAAAGGAGACAGTCCTAGATGATACAACCAAAAGTATTATGCAGAAAGAGAGAAGTGAAAATGAAAAAGGACGATGAGATGAGAATTTGACAGGTGGGAATAAAATGGCTTAGAGTGGGCAGCCATCAAGGGCACTGGCAGTATACATAGGGAAAACATTACCATACAAACAAACCAATCAGTTGTGTTAGGACATTGAAATCTCAGAAAATGACAAATGAATAAGTCACATAGGAGAGATATTTTCATCCATCAAAAACAGAAACTGAACATTTATCAAGAAACTACTGAGTTCCATTCGTCACTCATTTCTCTGTGATGCTTCTGCTTAAACACAATAAAAACCTAGGCTCCTGCCTGGTGCAAACCAACTTAGAGTTCAAATTTCATGACTGGGACCCCTTCCTTCAAGGAACTCCCCCTTTGAGCCCAATTTAAAATGGATTAATAAATCTCACACTGGCTTGCATATATACTCTCTCCTTAGGAACTGCTCAAGGCTTAAATCCTCTTGATGCTAAGATTCAGTTCATTTGTACTAGTCTGGGAGAGGGGAATACAGACTGAGGCCTTAAAGATGCACCTATAATTGCCTTGGGGTGAAAGAGATTAGGTGGCTCTTTTTGTTTTAATCTTAAATACACGCCGTCATATTAAATGAGAATTAAGTGAGTTTTAGTTTTAAGTTTCTCATTTTGTCTGACCAGTTCCTCAATGTTCCAATACAACTTTTCTTCCAGAAGCTTGTTTTTTTTTTTTTTTTTTTTTACATATTTCCTATTTCAGTGTTTTGTTAATTTTTTTGGTGTGTGTACTTAAATATTTCATTTCAGAGTCTAGTGTTTTTTATTATCTGGCAAAATTTCTTTGTAGATGCAGCTTAATCATTGGACTACTTAAGCCTCTGTTTTGTCATCTTGACCTGCATATTAACGTTATCTACTCTGAGTACTTTTCCTTGTTTTTGCTTCCAGAAGAAGGTTTAAAATTTAGCTCAAGTCAAATTCCATCATAGTTCTAAATATTTTCCTAACTCTTACTTAATTTCTATCATACTTCTTAGGAGCCTTATCCTCTGGCATAATTTAATTTACTTTTCTTGGTACAGAGCTTTGATGAAAATTTTAATCATTCAATAAAATATTAATATTTCTGTATTATAATCTATTTACCTTACATCAACCTAGTTAAACTTGACTCTTTCAGATCACACGTTCAAATCCTTTAATTTTTTGTTCTCAACTCTAAAAGTAAACATGAAGCTGGGATCTCACTATAAATAAACACCCAAATGCCACTGAACTCAAGGACAAATCGGTTTGTGAGTTCATTGATTTTGGAGGTTTTATTTCTGTAGATCACTCAAACAACTTCCCAGTAATTGTCTTTCCAACTGCATTAAATTTCTCTCTTAGATAAAGGAAATTGGAAATATCTAAAAGCACTACCTGTCTTATATTTAGAGTCGCCGGCAGTCAATTGCTGTTTATGGTCAGTATGGGGGCCAACCTTGTGTCGGAAGTGCTTTCGAAATGCAATCCTGTGAACCAAGAAGAGGATGCCCAACAGAAGAAGGATGTGGAGAACGTTTCAGGTGTTTTTCAGGTAATATGTTCCCACAATCTCAGGATTTGTTGTTGTTATGAAGTGGTGTTGAGTTGGTTCCAACTCATAGCAACCCTATGTAGGGTTTTGGAACAGTAGTTGGTGGGCTGGAGCCACCAACCTTGTGGTTCCCAGTCCAGTGCTTATCCTGCAGCATAACAAATGAAGTCCAGTCTCAGGATACAGACTGTAAATTCATATGCTATTTGATAACTTGCTCAATATATACTTGTTGAATTTTACTAAAGTTATATTGGCTTATAAACTAATTTTCCCCAAGTATCAGCAGGATTTTAGTTGGCATATTATCACACACTCAGCTATCCTTCTTTCAATAATGGAGAAGTGCTCCTTGGAAACCCCAGGAACTGACTCAGTGGACCAACTCCATGGCACTTAACAACAATAATAACCACCTAGTAAAAGAAGCTCTGGTAGTGTAGTGGTTACTAATAGGGCTGCACACCTCAAGGACAGCAGTTCGAAACTACCAGCTGTTCCGTGAGAGAAAGATGAGGCTTTCTGCTCCCATAAAGATTTACAGCCTTGAAAACCCTGTACAGGGATGCTATGAGTTGGAAACAACTCCGTGGCACATAACAACAATATACGTGGCCACCACTTGTCTGTCAGTTTGTTGTATTGTGCTGGCTTGTGAGTTGCTGCGATTCTGAAAGCTATGCTGCTGGTATTTTAAATACCAACAGGGTCATCCATGGTGGACAGGTTTCAGATGAGCTTCCAGATGAAGACAGACTAGGAAGAAGGAGTGATGAACTACTTCCTAATATTTAGTCACTGAAAACCTTATGAATAGCAGAGAAGCACTGTCAGATATAGTGCCGGAAAATGAATCCCTCACATTGGAAGGCACTCAAAATGCGACTGGGGAAGACCTGCCTCATCAAAGTAGAGTGGACCATGATGATGAAAATGGAATTAAGCACATGGGAGAAAAACCCACGGGACCTTCATTTGCTGATGGGGCACAACTCAAAAAGAAGAGAAACAGCTGTAAACATCCATTGAAAATCGGAACATGGAATGTATGAAGTATGAATCTAAGAAAATTGGAAGTTGTCAAAAATGAAGTGGAATGCATAAACATTGATATCTTAGGCATTCGTGAGCTGAAACGGACTGGTATTGGCCATTTTGAATCTGACAACCATATGGTTTACTATGCCAGTAATGACAAATTGAAGAGGAATGGTGTTGCATTAATTGTCAAACAGAACATATCCAGATCAGTCATGAGGTATAACGCTGTCTGTGATAGGATAATACCCATGCACCTACAGGGAAGCCCAATTAACACTACTATTATTCATATTTACGCACGAAACACTAAAGCCAGTGTGGATGAAATAGAAAAATTCTACCAACTTCTTCAACCTGAAATCAGTCAAACATGCAATCAAGATGCATTGATTATTACTGGTGATTGGAATGCAAAGGTTGGGAGCAAAGAGTAAGGATCAGTAGTTGGAAAATATGGCCTTGGTGATAGAAATGATGCTGGAGAACACATGATAGAATTCTGCAAAACCAATGATTGGTTCATTTCAAATACCTTCTTTAGACAGCATAAGAGACCTTTAGACACACATGGACCTCACCAGATGGAATACATAGAAATCAAATTGACTATATCTGTGGAAAGAAACAATGGAAAATCTCCATATCATCAGTCAAAACAAGGCTAGAGGCAGACTGTGGAACAGACCATCAGTTACTTATATGCAAATTCAAAATGAAGCTGAAGAAAATGAAAACAAGTCGACGAGAGCCAAAATAAGACCTTGACTATATCCCACCTAAATTTAGAGATCAACTAAAGAACAGATTTTATACATTAAACACTAAAGACCAAAGACCAGAAGCGTTGTGGGATGACATCAAGAACATCATACATGAAGAAAGCAAACAGTCATTAAGAAGACAAAAAAGAAAGAAAAGGTCAAAATGGATATCAGAAGAGACACTGAAACTTGCTCTCCAGCGTAGACATGCTAAAGCAAATGGAAGAAATAAGGAAGTACAAGAGCTGAACAGAAAATTTCAAAGATCAGCTCAAGAAGATAAAGCCAAATATTACAAGAAAATGTGCAAAGATCTGGAATCAGAAAACCAAAAAGGAAGAACATGTTCAGCATTTCTCAAGCTGAGGGAACTGAAGAAAAAATTCAAGACTCGACTTTCATTATTGAAAGATTCTCTGGGAAAATTATTGAAAGATGCAGAAAGCATCAAAAGAAGATGGAAGGAATACACAGAATCACTGTACTTTCTAAGCTAAATTAGATGATGCCGCCTGTAGGAAGCCTTCCTTAAACACCAAAAGAAATAACTAATTAACATTTCACTTCTCTTTATTACTTATAGGAGTCCTGGTGTGGTACTGTAGGGTAATGCACTGGATGGTGAAGTCAGTTTGAACCACAGGGTCAGCAGTTCAAATTTACCAGGTGCTCCTTGGAAACCCTATACAGGATCACTATGAGTTGGAACTGACTTAGTGACACTTATCATGTTCCTATATATCTTTTATCATCCTGTAGATTAGACTATTTGCTTGCCTTGATGTCACAGTTGGGATTGTGAACTCCTTGAAGACATAGATTATAGTTCTTTCATGCTTGCATCGGGGGTTGCTGGTACATAGTAGATGCTCTATAGTTGTTTGCTATGTTGGATTGAATGACAGAATGGAAGACTATAAGCTATGATTGCTGTGTATATAGAATATTAAAAAGACACAAGAAGACGTGAACCCTAGTCTGTGGGGTGGTTGTTGTTAAGTGCTGGTGAGTCAGTTCTGACTCTTAAGTGACCATGTATAGAGTTTCCCAGGAGTGACTGGTGGGTTTGAACCACTAACCTTACTGTTAGCAGTCCAGTGCAATGATTAATGTGAAAATATAGTATTTAGTTTGATTCTTGATGGACAAATGGCGAAAACCCTTCTACTAGAGCTAAGTAAAAGCATGCTTATTGTAGTCCAGTGCATTAGCCTGCAGTGCCACACCAGGACTCCAAAGGTTTTCCACCGCTGCTGTATAGGGTTTCCGGCTCTTATGAGCCTGAATAGGGTTTCTAAGGAGTGGTTGGTGAGTTTGAAGCAACAACCTTGTGGTTCAAACTGACAGCATGGTCGAGTGCTTGTCCTGTGGCACCACACCAGTCCTCTGAAAGCATGCTAGAGGCTCTATATGACTAAGGCATAGACATCGTTGTTGTTAAGTATTGTCAAGTTGTGGTGAGTTTGAATTGCCAACCTTGTGGTTAACAGTCCAGTGCATATCTTATAATGCCACACTGGGATTCCAAGGCACAGGGTATTAGTAGGAAAAGGCTGGAGATGTTGCTTAGGAAGTGGACAGGGGCTAAATCATGCAGTTTCATTGGTACCCTGAGTTTATGCAGATCACATTGTTCAAGACCCTCAATTACAGTAGTTTATGTCTCCATATTCTTTCTTTTAGATTGTAAATGCCATGAAAAGTCTGACAAAGACCAGGCTTATTTATATTTGTTTCCCGACACCTGAAAGAGTACCTTACAACAGAGTAGGCGCTACAGAAATGTTGAGTTTTAACATTGTGGCCCAATTCCCACGCTCTTAAAACTTATAAGTCTATATCACCAAGTTAAGTAATACTTTGGCATCTCAGTTAAAGATGAAAGAAGAAAAAAAAAAAAAAAGAAAAGAAAATTGAAGAGCAGGAGGTCAATCTGTCTTCCCAGTAGGTGGCTTTGCACGATTTTGGAGGATTTAGAAAAACTGCTTGATTATGGGTGAAGATCCTGGAATTTTGAATTCAGCTTCTCTTTTCAATTTTGTGTGTGGCCAAGGTCAGAATCAATTCTGTGTGCTGTCTCACCCAGACACCAGGAGGATTTATCTCAAGTTGACATTAGACTATAGGGGCAGCTGTGGAGGGTTGGGAAAAGAGCCTTCTTAATCCCCTTAGTAGTTCTCGTCTTCCTGCTTTCATTTTCTTGTGTTCAGGTCACTGCATCAGCAAATCTTTGGTTTGCAATGGGGATTCTGACTGTGAGGAAGATAGCTCTGATGAAGACAAATGTGAAGACTCAGAAAGCAGACCTTCCTGTGACATTGATAAACCTCCTCCGAATGTAGAACTTACTGGAAATGGGTAAGGTGCTAGGCAGCCCCCTGCACACACTATGAAATACGACAGCCCTTGATTTTACTTTGCTTTATTTTATGGCATTGTTCAGTGAAAAGCAAGTTCTTAACCAGAACTTTTCTTTGGCTCCGAGCTCTTTGCCACATCCCATGACAATTTTTTTAATATGTTGTAAGGTGTATATGGAGTCCTGATATGGTGCTGTGAGTTAATGCACTGGACTGCAAGGTTGGTTTGAACCTTAAGGTTGGTTTGAACCATAAGGTCAGCATTCAAGATCACCAGCTGCTCCTTGAAAATCCTCTATAGGGTCACCATGGGTCAGAACCGACTTGATGGCACTTAACAGCACCACCACCAACAAGTGTATATGGAGTCCTGGTGTGGTGCTGTGGGTTAATGCGATGGACTATAAGGTTGATTTGAACCACAAGGTTGGCAATTCAAGCTCACCAGCCACTCCTTGGAAACCCTATAAAAGAGTCAGAACAGACTGGACAGCACTTAACAACAATAACAACAACAAAGGTGTATATGCATAAAAATTTGTGGTAAGATGTGGAATGACCAGTTGTCTAATACTGACTTTGTTTGGAAACTAAAAGTCCTGCATCAAGGTAAACCCCTTAGTCAATGGCAAACCTGGACTGTTGCTCACTCTGGGTATTAGTGGGGTGCCTTTGTTTGCTGGCACTGCTGTAACAAATAACTCAAGTGGTGGCTTTAATAAAGGAAAATACATTTTTCCCACGTTTAGGAGGCCAGAAGTTTGAATTCAGGGCACCAGGTAATGGGGAAGTCTCTCTCTGTTGCCTCTGGGGGAAGTTCCTTGTCTCAAGTTTCTGGAACTGTGATGTTCCTTGTTGTTAAGTGCCAGCAAGTTGGTCCCGACTCATAATGAACCTGTATAGGGTTTCTGATGAGCAGCTGTTGGGTTTGAACCACAGACCTTGGGGTTCACAGTCTGACGCTTATCCTACAGCACCACACCAGGTGTTGTTGTTGTTGTGAAGTGACGTCAAGTTGGTTCCAACTAATAGGGACCGTGTATAGGACTTCTGAGGAGCTGCTAGTGGAGTTGAACTGCCAAAGTTGTGGTTGCAGTCCAGTGCTGATCATATAGCACCACCTGGGGAGTCCTAGACATCGGGCAGGTGGCATCATTGTGTTTGCTTCTGTGTCTATACTCACTGGTATAAGGGTTAGGATTCCAACACATATTTTGGAACAGAATTCACTCCATAACAGGGAAAGTGAGAGGGACAAAGAGAGAAAGTGAATGAGATAGAGATCGAGAGAATGGATTGATTCACTGATGTGGGGCTTCTCATTAATGAAGAGAATGAAGAGACTAAAGAGAGCAGATTCAGAGAGAAAACAAAGAAGGAAATGGGGTGTTGTAATAGATTGAAAAGTGATTGCTCAAACCATCTGGCAACTTTCATTTCCAAGAGAAGTTGGGAAAATCCTGTTTGTTTTTTCAAAAAGAGTTCTGCATAACATTTATGGGAAATAAATAAAGTTTCCAAAGCCTTAAAAGTACCTGTTTTAAAGTACTGAATAGACGTCAGTTTTCAATGATAATAAAAATTTTATTAACAGAGAAACAGGATGAAGTCACTTTAAGAATATACTATTCAGCATGCTAAGAAGCAATTAGTTGAAATTCATTGTAGGGAGCATTGGCTCCTCAAGAGTAGCCTAAATTGTATAGTTTTATTTGTAGTTTCAGTTCAAAATCCCTTGTTGCTATAGATACAATGGGGCTGTGTGCTTCCTAAATATGTTCTTAGGCTGAAAGGATATTGGATTTTCCCAGCTATTAGTACTAGCTATTATACAAAGGAGCTCTGGTAGCGTAGTGGTTACGAATTGGACTGCGGACCTTAAGGTCAGCGGTTCGAAACTATCAGCCGCTCCGCGGGAGAAAGATGAGGCTTTCTACTCCCGTAAAGATTTACACCCTCGGAAACCCTGTACAGGGTCGCTATGGGTCGGAAGCGACTCGACGGCACTTAACAACAACAACAACATTATACAAAGCAGAAGTTAGATAATGTATAGTGTGCATTAGGGTGCTGCTTTCTTTCTTTGAGCTCTCTCAAATAAAGTGCTTAACTGTATTGTATTTCAAGAGTTTCTAGAACTTTCTAATGATGTCTTTTCCACAAAGTGCTAGTTCTGGTTTCTAACTGTCTTTGTTTCTTTCCTTTCTCTTTCTTATTTTATTTATTTATTTTTTTAAAAAACCAGCTACAATGCACTTACTGGCCAATTTAGGAACAGAGTCATCAATACTAAAAGTTTTGGTGGTCAATGCAGAAAGGTGTTTAGTGGAGATAAAAAAGATTTCTACAGACTGAGTGGAAATGTCCTCTCCTACACATTTCAGGTACTTAATTAAATCGATCAAATTTTTTTCTGATTCATTAATTGTCAGAAATAGTTATTTGCATTATGTTAATTTAAAAATATTTGTTGAGAACTTGCATATGCTTTAAAATGCGGTCAGATTTTTCCAATGTTCCATGTGGACAGGTATTCTTTAACTTGAGTACTGGGCAGTGATGATAATTAGATGAAAAATTAATAAAATATCTTTATGCTTCATTTCAACTCTGTAATCTGTGGGGCCCAGATTTTGTGTGTGTCTCCTTGTATGGGTGTTAACTCAGGACTCATTGTCTGTTTATGATGATCCTCTTAGGACTGCCACAATGTCAGCCTACTGAAAAATGCTTTTATTTTGAAATTTTGAAATTGTTCATACATACAAATGTTATGTGGCTAACATAGATCTGGTTTAAAAAAAAAGAGAAGTGTGTTGTATGTGTGTGAAAAGTGAAGTGCCAGCAGTTTATATGTGACTACTGACCTGGAGGTTGATGGTTCCCTACCCAGCAATGCCATAGACGAGAAGTCTGATGATCTGCCTATGTTAAGATTACAGGCAAGAAAACCCAATGGAGCAGTTCTACTCTGTAACACGCCATGAGTTGCAATCAGCTCAAACTGAGCTAACAGCAGTTATATATCTAACAAAATATTTGCCATGTCAACAGTCTTCAAATGTACAATTCAGTGACTTTAACAACGTTTCTCATGTTGTCTAATCAGTCATTTTCTGTTTCTAAATTTTTCTATCAGTCTTAACACAAGTTCACTGTCTCCTAAGCAATTTTCTCCCTTCTCTCTGGATCATTCTAGGCAACCAATAAGAAACTTTGGTCTCCATACACTTGCACTGTTGTTGTTGTTAGGTGCCATTGAGTCGGTACCGACCCATAGCAACCTTATGCACAGCAGAATGAAACACTGCTCAATTCTGGGTCAACCTCACTATTGTTGCCACGCTTGAGTCCATCGATGCTGCCACTTGGCCAATCCATCTC